TGTGTATAATAAACTTTGGTGTACAACGTTTTAAATAAAAAAGGTTTATAAAGTTAAATTTTAGAACTTAAAGTTTTAAGAACTTTTAAAAGGATTTTTCATTTATTTCAATCTTTATTTCACGTATTTATTTGATATTTGCATTACAATAATATCGGTTTTATCTTTTTACATATAGAAACCACGAAAAGGAAATTTATTTCTTTCACGAAAATCGCAGCACAAAATAGCCCGATATAATCCTCGATTAGGTGTTGAATGTCCTGACAACAATTCCACAGGACAATTTGTTTATCCACCAGATTGCAAATTCTTCGTCAATTGTTGGAAAGGTCGTGCATTTGTTCAACCATGTGCTCCAGGCACTCATTTTAATCCTGATACTCTGGAATGTGATTTTCCACATAAAGTGAAATGCTATGAGGATGAACCTGCATATTTCAAAGAGTCAGATTCTGTCTTCCAAATTAATCGAAAATCACAGAAGTTGCAAGTGCGTTTTTTTACATTATATTATTATTAATTATAAATCAAAATTTTATTTTATTTTTCAGATTTATTGACTTTGATGATATATTGTGTCTGATTTAAACAAAACATTTCTTTTTTAATATGCATATTTTTTAATATACATTTCGCATATCGATCGATATTTTACCGATTTATTTAACATTTTACAGGAACCAAAATGTCCACCATATTTAATTGGTTTATTACCACATCATGGAGATTGCACGAAATTTGTACAATGTGCACACGGTGCAACTTATATTATGAATTGTGGCCCTGGAACAGTTTTCAATCCCACTATTGGTACATGTGATTGGCCGCGTAATGTAAAGGGTTGCGAAGGTAACAATAAATGATGAATTATTGGAAGAAATAATTTATTTTATCGTAAAAATAATATGCAGTTTTATTTAAATGTATTCTGTTATATATAGATATTTTTAAATCTGATAAAAAAGTACCACTTGCATCTCCAAATTTTAATTTTGAGTACGATAGTGCGAAATATATCGAAGCAAAGAAAATTATATGTCCTGCGGATTTCATTGGATTATTGCCTCATCCGGAGACGTGTAAAAAATTCCTTCAATGTGCAAATGGTGCTACTTACATAATGGATTGTGGTCCTGGAACAGCTTTCAATCCTATTACAATGGTTTGTGATTGGCCACATAACGTACCCAGCTGCAAAACAGGTATATTAATTGCAACAAATAATGCAAATTGTTAATTTTAGCAATTTAACATTTTTATTAAAATAACTTGCAATTATATTCTCTAATAGAAAAGATCACGTCACAAAGTTACGAAATAACGAAATTAAAATAAGTAACTCACGGATTGTTCCAAATCAATACGTAATTTTTTTAAATCACATAATTTGAAAAATCACATACAGAAGTAATTTTATCCATCGCATGTGATTTTATAGTTACCGAATTTTAAAGAATCGAATAATAGAAATAGAATAAAAAAACATGTCATCACATGACCTTTTAAATTACATAATTTTAAAAAATCACATACTGATTTGAAACAATCCGTGTTTTACTTGTCTTAATTAAATGATTTCATTATGTAACGAAATCATATCAACAAATAAAACACTTTGTGACGTGATCTTTTTCAATAGAACTTATCTCTAAGAAAACTAATTATATACACGATATACATATGTAGATATATTAGTAAAAGTATATTAAATCAATATGTTGACAAATTCTATATTATTCATAATAATTAATATTAGATTGAACTAAACAATCATTAATGTATTCCGTTTCATATCGATTTTAAGTGACTTATTGAATACATTACGTGAAACACCAAGTAACTCGCAATGTTCTTATTTGTATTTATTATTATAGAAGCCGTAAACATTTAAGTAAATTTTGAAATTTTATAGGAAATTTAATTCTGAATAAAACATTTCCTATAAACATGGATAGAAATATGCTCTCTTAAAAAGTTAGTGTTAAAAAATTTCTGAAAAATTATGATTTATATGTATTTATAAATATCAGGGGAAGTATACATTTTTTACACTTTAAACCTAAAACCTTGAATATTTTACTTTCTTTCAAATACGAAAAAATACTTCAGGTGAAAGTGGATTTCGATGTACTTTGGTCATGTTGTTTATCTTTTAAATGGAGGCGTCAATAAAGTTATATGAAAACCACTTCCATTTTTTTAAATAGAATTATACGATTTTTTTTACATAGTATGTGATTTCTCTAATTATTCTGCATATAAAAATATTAAAATAGAGATATTAAAAAAAAAATCAATTATACAGTTTACCAGATATTGAATATTAACCTATATTAAAATAAAATATAAAATATATTGTAAACCGTTAATTTTTTTATATATCTTTTCTTTCTTTTTATATGCAGAATAATTAAAGAAATCTACCAAAATATAATTCCATTTAAAAAAATGAAAGTGACAAAAAAAAAGAGGAATGTGAATGTTCCTCTTGAAACTGTTCCATTTGAAATATTTTTTGTATCATCAGAAATAAGTAAAATATTCGAAGTGTTTGGTTTAAGTGAACTTGTATACATATAGCATAATTATAAATGTATGCATTCATGCATGATATTGAAATTATTAATTAAATATTTTATAATTATATTTTTTTTATAACCAAAATATCAAACAGTTTGAACAGATGGTCTATTCATTATTATTATAGTCACTAGTGACTTGCGGAATATTAATTAAACAATTATAAATTATTTTTAACTGTTCTGGGATCTGTTAATTAATATTTTCTAAAATTTTCTAAAAATAATCACAATAAATTCATACTTTTTGAAATATAGGTAAATTTGATGATAACGTACACAGAATGGAAGACACTACTTGGATTCCACTTCTTGCTTCTACTACATCACGATCAAATCTAAGTCCAACATTTAAACCAACCTGGAAACCATTTATGACATCTTCAAGTCCATTTTGGATATCATCGTGGACAACTCCAAGGCCATTTTATAATCGTTCTGAACATGTTAATTATCATGATTACGACCATGCACATAGAGAAAGTCGATATCAAGATTATGGACCACATCTAGAATGGAAACCAAATAATGGAAATTTGAGACAATCTTTTGATAACAATTACGAGTTTCAAGACAGGCAATGGATAAACCATAGAATTGATCAAAATCCACAACCAGTTTATCATTCTGATCCAGAAGGATCGTGGTCATACGAACATAGGAATCCAAATCATCGTTATGATCATAGATATTATCCTCCTGGTTATCATTATCATCATCATCATCATCATTATCATAATTATGGATCTACATCAAATCCGTCAATACCTACAGTAAATCCAAATTGGAACGCCGATAATCCTACTACTCTTATTGGTGATCAAAAATATGATCAAGGATACCAAGGATATACTCCAAATGCAGGTGATAGTTGGCACTTTGACCGTAATGGTTCCAATCATTATGATCATCATTATTATGAACATGTTGCGTCGAGTGAAACAGATCAAAGACATCAACCATATTTTCCTTCTAAAGAATATAATGATAATAACAGTCAGTTTTCTAATGTATATAAAGAAATAAAGTTTTCTAACGTTTCTTATTTATTAGATAGTCAAAGGACCGATCATGATTTGCATCCGACTAAGCAAGATTATAATTGGACGATGCCAGGATTATATTATCCTAATTTCAATCATACTTTTCCATTCGCTGGAAATGTTTTGCTAAATAATAGTAATAATAATAAATTTACTAAAAATTCAAATCAGAATAAATCGCGACAAGATAGATTACCTCTTACTTGGATAGGACAAGAAAATACGACTCAATTAAATGGACCTTTTGTTTTCAACCCGAGTACATGGCATGATCAACAGAAAGTACAGATGGAAACACGTTCGTGGGATCAAGGTAAATAAAAATTAATATTAAACTTGTTTATTATTTTAATAAATCATTAATTTATTTACATATTTTTATATAAAATTGTATGTATATAAAATTATGATATTTAATTAATATTTTGTGATTACGATTGTTACGTAAAAATATTTCATTTATGTTTGTTTATTATATTTAGATTAGATTAATTTTTTAATTAAATTTATTAGATATTTTTATTGAATTTATATATTATTTATATATTATTTATATATTATTATTTTCAATTAGATTAAAAAGTTTGTTAGTACACTACAAGTTATAATAATACAAATTAATATTATAATAATGTGCTGTTGCAAACTTTACTGACGAATATTTGCACGCTGCATGAATTAACTTTGTAAATTGTACATACAATTAGTTATTATCTGCATGATATCATTGAAATAATACAAATATGCAAATGGATAATATTGCTTCTTAATAATTATGATGCAAAAAAATATATATTTAATAATATGCATGGAAATATATTGCATGTTGATATGTATTGCATGTTTCATGAAAAATTAAAAATGTATACAGTAAGATAAATAAATAAATACATTATATACATTTAAGTATGATAAAATATTTATATTATAGGGATGCATCAGATATCCGAAAAATATCCGGTGTCTGGTATTATCTGGCACTTTTTTACTATCCAACCTAACCGGATAGTCGGATATTATTAGTATCCCGGAATATATCCGATTGAAGTTTGATATCATTAAATTGTTGATTTTTTCTTATACAAATGTCCTAGAAATAAATATAAATATTCATGATGCTATATAATATTTTTTTATATTAGTATAAGCTCTATAAGCTTTTTTTTTAGAGATATTTCCTCGGTTAATTTGATATTACATTCCAAATATCCGATATTTAGTATCCGATAATTTTACGATTCGGTATATATCCTTAATTTATATAATACATATCAATACTATGGATCAATGTTGTGAATATTATATAAATAATTAATTCTAGTCACATATAGCTTCTGAAAAATTTTGAAAACACACCATGGGAGATCCAGTATGTTGATAGATTGTAACTTTGATTTAAATTAATATATTTAAAATCTTTTTTTATTTTATTTTTTTAGTTTATTTTTAGTTTTGAGATTTAGGAACATACCTGCATAGTAATGCCAAAAAGATTTATATATTATATTAAGTTAAAAAACACGGAACTTTCCCTTTTCTTTTCTTCGTGTATGGAATAAACGAAACTTCAATTGGGTTTGGAAAATTCATGTGTATATGTTTAGAATTAAATTTATAAATCGGAAATTATATACATAAAAAATTCGAAATGTTTATTATTAAATCAATTGTTTATTTTTTTTCATAGATCTCTAAGAATTTTTTCAGAATTTTTTAATACCGTATTTTCATGTTGAAAAAATAAGAAAATGCAGTATTAAAAAGTTGAAAAAATTCTGAAAAATTTGTAAAGCTTTCACATTATTATTATTAAAAAAAGTATTTTTTTTTATATAAAATTTATTAGCTAACTAAATTTGAATGAGAAAGTTAATATTTCATAGATATGACCAGTCAAGATGATAAATTGCAACAGCAATTTGGCAAAAATATATATCAGCAAAGCACAGTTGATAAAGAAATAAATGCAAAAACCGCATTAAAAACAAATATCTTG